GGGGGGGATGGGGGGGATAGGAGGTGTTTCAGATTCCAGTCACTGTAGCTGAAACATCCAGCCTGGAATGGGTGGGCCTGGTCCCAGCTGGCAGGTGGGGCGACTTCTTTGTGACTCCTACCATCTCTGCCAGAGGCCTCAGTCTGGGGTTGCACAGCAGCAGAGCTTCTGGGTCAGAAAAATGCTGAACCTTTGGGGTCCTGGTACCTCTGAGCCCATAGCAGAAGCAGTGGTAGGGTCCTTGCCTGGCTTTTGTGAGGCTCTGGGTTCTATTCCCGGTACCACAAACAAAACATTAGACTGTGGTGGTCTCTGAATGGCAGAGTCACTCTGGTATATTCAAATCTGGGAAGACTGGGTAAGGGGTCCTCTGTTCCTTCACCAGATGGCCAGAGCAAGAGGCTCCAGAGTCTGGCAGTCTGGCAGGCCTCTATGTTATTTCTGGAAGCCAGGTCTTGGGTGGTGAGATATACAGGTTAGCAAGAATCTGTGGGCTGGACCTCCCGGAGTATAATTGATGTGAGGGAGGAGCGATAATATGAACAAAGGAGTCAAGACCATGATGGGGAAACCCACAGAATCAGCTGACCAAATGAACTGACCCTGCACACTGTCAACTGGGGAACTGGAGTAGGACTGATCTAGGGCCCCTGAATACAGGTGACATTGGTGTGGCTTGGGTGCAATATAAGGCCACTGGCAGTGGGTCCAAGATCTAACTATAACACATAAACTGACTTTGAGGAGCCCATTCTCTATGGAGAGACACCTTGCTCAGCCTAGACATGGGGGGGGTGATAGAAATGGGGGAGGGTCTTGGTACTGTCTCAAGGAGGTGATGGGACAGACTTAGTTGACATTCTAGGGGAGGCCTTACCCTCTCTGAGGAGCAGATGGGAGGTGGGATGGGGAGAAGAGAGGGAGAGTGAGAGGAGAGAAGAGAGGGGCAACTGGGATTGGAATGTATAAATAAATAAATAAATAAATAAATAAATAAATAAATATCTGTGGGCCGTGTGCCAGGCCCTGTGGTGGAGACCCACAAGAAGGTGCAGAGCATGGCAGGGAAGACTCTGACCCCTTCTCTTCCCTCTGTGCTAGTACACAATCTGAATCTGTACCCACAGTGTGTGCTGGAAGCCCCCACAGGTATAACTGGACAATAAGGACTCACAGGCAGAGCAAAGCATCACCTAGCCCTGGGTCCCCAGGACTTGGGTTCTCAGCTACCCCAGACTCCGGACACCGGGGGACTCACCTGAAGGGAAGCCAGAGATGACCTTGACCAGGAATACAGGCAGCACATTAGGCAGCAGCAGCAGGCGGGTGATGGCCTTCAGGTCAAATACACTGGCCTTGGTTCCACCTGGCCACCCGGGACATCAGTCAAAAACACTGGTTGTGGGGCTCTGGCTGCCAGCCTTGTCCCCCAGGCTTGAGCTGACTATTCTCTCAGCAGCTCTCTCCCACAGCTTCTAGGGGCTTTGGGGTCACTCATCACACTTTGGCTAACCCAAGGACCCCTGTATCCCAGGCAGGGCAGGGAAAGGTAGGTGTTCAGAAGATGCAGCTGGCATCAGGTAGCTCTGCTAGAACATTCCTAGACCCTCAACCTTCTTGACAAGGGCAGTTGCTCCAGCCCAGCCAGAGAGGCATGCCTTGACACCCAGGACATTCTCAGTCACTGGCCTCCCAGCTGTGCCTAGATGTCCCCGAGGCCCTGCTCTTGCTTCTTGTATCACAGCCTCCAGTCCCAAGAAGTCTCCCAGGTTAGTCTCCATCTCAGTCACTGGGCAGAGGCACAGAGGTACCCTTCTGAAGAGCCGGCCTGGCCCATATTTGTCACCAGTTCAGTGGGATCACCCACTGAGTCAGTAACCTCACATGGCTCGGGACATTCAGTATCTCAGACACTAGAAGCCACCCCCAAGCCCCTGTGTCCCCTGAATATTTCCTGGCTTTTCTAGACTTGCCTTGTAGGGCCTCCCTGCTCAGGGCCTTGGCTTGCCCGACTCCCATAACTGTGCCCAGCTTGACCTACAAGGAGTCATCAGCAAGAGGTAGGGAGAAGACTGCATTTCCTCTGTGTGTCCCCAGAATCCCTTGGTTGGAAGTTCTTCTTATTCTCAGTAGTGGCACAGGGTGCTGGCTTCTGGGACAAAGTGGTACCTACTGGCCCAGCTGTAGGCAGGTGGGGCTTACCCTGATGGGCTGATTGGACACCAGCTTCCTTGGTGGTGACAGGAACACAAGTAAAGCTGAGGACAGCTCCTAGGAGTGTGACCACAAGAGCCACGATGGCAGGACACTGGATCCTAGGGGGACAGCCTGGGTCATTTGGTGTGCTGTTGCAGGGATACACTCTAGAGCCACCCCCACCCTACCTTGTCTCTTTGGCCCCATTAAAACCTCACTTGCTGCCAGGCAGTGGTGACACACAACTTTAATCCCAGTACTTGTGAGGCAGAGGCAGTTGGATCTCTGTGAGTTTGAAGTTAGCCTGGTCTACAGAGCGAGTTCCAGGACAGACTTCAAAGCTACACAGAGAAACCGTGACTGGAAAACAAAACAAAACAAAACAAACAAACAAAAAAAACCAATAACCTTACCTGCTAAGGGTGCTCAGTCACAGACACTCAATCCCTTAAAGTACCTTTATCAGATGACAGCTGCCCCAACATGAAGGCCCTGCAGCGTCTGGGAGGTGGGGGTTGGGATAGGGGGTGGGGGCAGCATGTGAGTCTAGAAGGTTGCAGGGCTGGTGTGGAGTGGCCTTGCTCAGGGTACAGTTGGTTCCCAGGTTCCCCAGGGTCAGGCAGGTTTGTGGGTGTCCCTGGGGACCAGGTACATGGTCCCCTTGCTAGTGAGGACAGGCTGGGCACTAAGTAGTCTCTAAGAAACCACCTTTCTTCCTCTAAAAGACCTTTCACCACTTTCTAGGGGGCAGGACCTGCCAGGGCTGGGGAGTTTGGGTTCTGTGTCTCAGATTCTGTAGGAAACCCTCCTGCCTGCCAGAGACTCACTGTCCCCTTGGTGCCTTGCTATGAATCATGGAACAACCCAATACTTCCAGTATAGCCTGTCCCTCTGGGAAATACAGACACTTGGGGACTGGTCTTTCAGATCCCATAGTCTCTTCCAGAGCCCAGCCCAACACTTGCTCTGAGTAGGGAATTTCTCTGAGCTAGATGAGAACCCCAGGCTGAAATACCCTTCCCTCTGCAGATTCGAGAACTCCTACATACTCAGTATGGGCTCATCCCCCAAGCTGGGCCCTGGTCTCAGCAGGGGACTCTTAACCTTATGCTTAGAATCTGGACCCCATGGGCAGATGGGCCTAGGCTGAACCTTGCATTGAAGCTTCATCAGGGAAATGTGATCAGATGTTCACACCAACTGTCAAGGAGCTGCCCCCAACAGTATCCTACACCTACTCTGTTCTGGCTCCTGGACAGACATGAGTGAGAGTCAGGGTCTTGGGAGAACCCCCAAGCTGCCAAACAAGACCAGTTTAAGCTGCCAAACAAGACCAGTTCAAGCTGCCTGTGTCCCTTCCACAGGGGTGTGTACATGTGTGCATGCACACACAGACATGCTCACCAATACAGAATATCTCTCTCATACAGAGGGACAACATATACAAACACCTAGGCATATACAGGTACCTTTGCTAGAACTCTGTTGTACACCTGCAGGCAGGAGGTATCAAGGAAACCAGTAGGGCCACTAATAGAGATCAGATTTCAACAGCTCTACTCAATGTGGGGCTGGGCACACCTCTCTTGCTATTTCCCTGTCCTCCAGGGCAATTGTGCGTCTAGTTCTGACTGCTACCATTCCCTCAATTGGACCCCTTCCCTGGCCAACATCAGGAAACATAATACTGGACCCCAGAATGAGATTTCTTCAGGCCCCAAGGGACTGGCAGGAAATGATGGGTGACATAAGGAAGGACACCCTTTCCAGTGGCTGGCCTCAGAGGCCTTTCTTTTGGCTTCTGGTCTCTGAAGCCTCAACATCACTGCAAGAGGTCTGGCCAGGTGGGAACAAATCTGCTTTTTTCATTAGATGCCCGGAAGCACTCAGGAGCAGAGGTGGCCACCTATGATGCTATTTTAGCAAACTGGTGATAAGTGAGGGTAGGTCGTAGGGCGCTAGGATCCTGCCTGTCTTCTGAGTGGTAATCAGCAAGTCAAAGGCCAGTACTGCCCTGGGAATGCAGGTCCTGGGGCTGGGATACTCTGCAGGCCCAGGAGAACCTGAGGCCAAAAGTCTCCTAGACCCCACAAACAAAACAGGACAAATTAAAAAAAAACAAAACAAAACAAAACAAAAAAACAACAACAACAAAAACCAAAACACTGAAAGGAAATCAGGCAAGAAGGAAAGTCAGTGTTGGGGGTGGGGATGTGTGGCTCAGTGCTAATATTCTTGCCTAGTGTGTGCCAGGCCCTGGGTTCAATCCCCAGTACTGGGGGATGGGGAGTGAAACTCTGGGCCAGTGAGATGGTTCAGAGAGTAAAGGTGCTTGCTGACCTGAATTTAAACTCCAGAACACAGAAGGGGACTCCTGCACGTTGTCCTCTGACCTCTACAATTACACTACAGTGCATGTTCCCTCCTACTAACACACACACACACACACACACACACACACACACACACAGAGCAATATAAAATATTAGGGGGCTGGAGAGGTGGCTGAGCAGTAAGAGCCCTTACTGGTCTTTCCGAGGATCCGGGTTTAATTCCAAGCACCCATATCAGGTAGCTCACAACTGTCTGAAACTCCAGCTCCAAGAGACACGACACCTTTCTCAGACTCACACTCACACATGGCACCCATACATAAATAAAAATAAACAATTTCCGGGTGTGGTGGTGCATACCTTCCATCCCAGCACTGGGGAGGCAGAGGCAGATGGATCTCTGAGTTCCAGGCCAGCTTGGTCTACTGAGTGAGTTCTAGGACAGCCAAGGATAAACCTGTCTTGAAAAAGAAAACAAACAGACAAACAAACAAAACTCTAAAAAAATAGTATCTATGGTTTTCTTTTTAGTAAGGGTCTCACTTTGTAGTCTTGGCTGATGTGATACTTGCTACACAGAGCCAGCTGGCCTCAGGCTCACAGAGATCCACCTGCTTCTGCCTCTCACCTGCTTTAAAGACTTTAGGACAGGCATTGCCTTGCCTGGCTAAAATTACATCTTTAAAAAAATTATCTTTAAAAAAAGAGTAAAACTGCAGGACAGATAACCCCTAGGGCTTTCAATCTTGTGGAATATTGTGACATCCCCTCCAGGGCCTTCTGGTTATCGCACCCCAGCAAGTAATCCAAGAAGCTCCCCTCAGGGTCCCGCCTCTGTGACTTGCACAGGTGCAAGGCCATGCTGGACAGGTTTTCAGAACGTCACACGACCTGTGCCTAGTTTTATGCTTTTCTTTTCTTTCTTTTAAAAAATGATTAATTTATTTTGATTTCATGTGCATTGTGGTTTTGCCTGCCTGCATGTCTGTGGAGGGTAACTCCAGATCCCCTGGAACTGGAGTTACAGTTGTGATCTGCCATGTGGATGCTAAGAAGTGAATCTAGGTTCTCTCTCTCTGCCTTTTTCTTTCTCTTTCTTTTCTTTTGGACACGGTCTTACTATGTAGGCCTGGCTGTCCTGGAACTCACAGACATCTGCCTGTTTCTGCTTCCTGAGTGTTGGGATTAAAGGCATTTGCCAGCCTGGCATAGTGGTGTAGAGGCAGAGGTAGGTGGATCAGCCTGGTCTACATAGTGAGTTCAAAGACAGCTATATAGTGAGACCCTGTTTAAAACACAATCAAAACCAAAAACTAAAACCCAAACCAAAAAACCCCAAAAACCCAAAGCAAACAACAAAAGGCATGTACCACCACCAAATAAAAAGTACATTTTATTTGTACCTTTCTTTCTTTCTTTCTTTCTTTCTTTCTTTCTTTCTTTCTTTCTTTCTTTCTTTCTTTCTTTCTGGTTGAGCCAAGACTTCAAGAACATCAGCTCAGCCTCTCCCCACCTTCTTTACATGCATTGGATAAGTGGAAAGTGGATAGGTGGGCACATGAATACCTTTCAGAGATGAGGAGTCCTCCATAGACATTGTTCCTGTCTTCCCTGGCTACCTGACTACATTTCCTCAGTTACAAATGAGGGCTGGACCACAGTCCTGTCTCCTCACCACTGTGTTTCTGCTGTCCTGGAGCCTGGCTACCCACATCCTATCTGCCAGCTGCGAGGAGGCTTCTGGCACTGCAGCCATAGCTCAACAAACTATAGTCGCTGCTTGTTTCTCCTTGTTTCCAGGGCCTGTCTGTAATGCCAAGGGTGGTGATGGCCCTCTGCCTGGCCTAGACTATGCCCAACCCTATCTGGGCTCTTCTGTGTTGCAGGATGACAATTCCTTCCTCACCACTCTGGACCCCTGCCCAATGTCTCCACAGCCCCGAGAGGGTCTGTACAGCCAAGGCCCTTGATGCCAGGAGCTAACATGCAGATGTGACTTAAAGTCTCACATACTCTCCTGTAACTTGGAAGACAGTGTGCGTATGATACCTTTCACAAGAGGTGGGGACAGGGACTCCAGAGCACCATTGAACACCCAGCCTGGGGCTCAGTCAGAAACCAGCTGCACCACCTGCCCTGCAATATGCCCAACATTCAAGCCCTGTGGCTAAGATGAATCTGAAAACAAAAATGCTGCAGGTGGGGTGTTCCTATAACCCCCAAACAAGTTTTGAATCCCTTCGACCTAGTGCTTCCTAGCCTGGAGCTCCCGCCAAGCTCCTCTTCCCGCCTCTTCATCTCTTCTTTGTGACACAGGTCTTCAACCAAATGACCAGTTTCTTCTTGCCTGGAGCCTTTGAGGACTTGAGGGGTGAGCAACACCCCTCACCCTCCCTGGCTTTGAGAGGCACATGCTCTAAGGCCTCAGGGACCAGATAAGATTTGCCACCGATGTCTTGGGTATGACTCTGAGCAGGGGTCACAGGGGCTACTTGGTATCCAGGAGGGTTTGCAGGTGGCCACTGTTATCTCGGGGGAACCTGACCCTCAGGGTTTGTGGCTGGATACTTCCTAGTTCATTTCTTAAAGTCCTACCAGACTTGGTGGCGTCTATTCAAATTCCTGCTCTTTGTGGGTGACTGAGAATTCCAGACTCCTAGGTGGAAGGTCCAGCTGGACCAACAACATGCTGGATGGCCATAGCTGAGCCGGCCCTCACTGGGATGGGAAGCCCCAGTTTGCTGTGGCCCCGGGTCTCTTTTTTCTGGGTTTGCATCATTCCTCAG